ACAGCGAATCCTCATCCGCATCCTCCACGCACAACAACTCGCGCACGCTCCTGCGCACCATCAACATCGAGCTCGACTCCAAATCCTCCCCCCAGCCCTCTACGACAATCATTAAAGACTTTACCCACCCGGCCAGCCCTCTGACCCAGTCCCAAGTTGCAGGCAACTTTCTCCCCGGCTACACATCGCACGACCTGAACAAGTCGGAAAAGCTCCGCGTAGTCGTCTACGTCAACCGCCCCTTCATATTCACATTCTTCTTCAGGCTGCACACGGACTCGCTGGCCTGGGACACGCTCTACCGCTCGCTGCACTACCAGCTCGCGCCGCTGAAGAAGCCGCTCCTGTCATCCACGAGCTACCGTCCCGAGCGGGGGCAGGAGTCGCCCGCCGCAAGGACGATATACAACCTCGTCTGGGACCCCAAGCAGCTCGTCACCCACTCGACGATACCCAACATACCCGAGTCCTCGGCGTCGGATACCTGGTGGTCGCGCGCAGACGCCGTCAACACGCACCTGCACCTGCTGAACACGCACGCGTCCACGAGGGCGAGGGAGGCCGAGCTGGAGAGGACCCACAAGACAAACAGAGGCTGGTGGATCGTGTGGACGCGCCTCCGCGAGAGGCCTGCCACCGAGCCGCAGGACGGGAATCCACCGCCGTCGCCCGGGTTGTCGGAGACTGAGGCCTCCCAGGGTGCAGGGGACGACGAGAAGCAGGAGCACGGGCCGGCGGCCAGCAAGGAAATCTTCCTCATCAGAAAGGCCAGCGACCACGCTGGGTTCCAGAGTCTTTCGACAGGGGACGGGGGAGGTGCTGCGGACGGCGCGAGTAAGTTGGTTCAGGGGATCGGCGTTGACACGCGGAGATATGTGGAGGAACTCCTCAGCTTCTTGTGATCGATTCGGGTGTCCATTATTAGTACAACATTCACCAGGGACGGAGAGCGCATGTGGCAATTGCGGTCGCATAGCCCCGCCCAGGGGTTTTATTTTTACCTCGAGTCCTGTACATACTAGTCGTGCTATTACTGGGATGCGATCGTTGTACATGGCCAAGCCTGATACCTTCGGGCGCGTCTTAGTTAAAAATGGGACAAGTGGCTTCAATCATTCACACTCTCAGGGCAGTCGGTCGTTCGATTTTGGATTGTAGTTGTTCATTTCCTCTATCCAGAGTTCAGTTCCTGCCGTGGCAGTGTCCTAGGTACCCACAACAAAAAGTGATATATACAGTGAAAGTTAAGAAAAAGCACCAACCAATGCGCCTTGACTGCACGTCTTGTGCTGGCTTCCAGAACAGATAACCTGTCTGTTCCTTTTTGGCCGGATATCGTATGTCAGTTTTTTTTTTACATCTTTCCCATGTATCCTGATTGCACTTGGTGCCAAGAGATTGAACCCAATAAATAAACGAGACGATCAAAAACCCAAAAATCGTAAGGTCATGAAGCTAGATGGGGCGGACCACAACGGCGTTTGAAAATCAGATGGAGCTGCACCGTGCACAGCACAGATGAATCGCTACAGCTACCTCTCGTGATCCTCAGTGCTTACTAGCTTAATTAAACCACCACTCGATCTTTGTACGGCCAACGCCAAGGTCGAAGAGCTGCGTGTAACAAGCCTTGCTGACATCAATATCGTTGGCCAGGCAGCCCATGCATTTGTCCTTCACAGTGCCAGTGATAGTCTTGCCGTTGGCGCTCATTGAGATGGTCTTGCCGCACATGGGATTGCCATTGGACTGTTGGCCCATCCGAATGTGAGAAACGGCAACGATGCACTCGGTCAGGTCCCTACCCTTGTCGTCCTCGCCGCAAGAGCCCATCCCGACGTCGTACCAGGTGAAGTCGCCCGTGATCTTATCAGAGCCGGGACCACCGCCACCAGTAGAGGGAGCAGATGAGGTTTGGGGGTTGCTGACAGGAGGAGGGGCAACGTCAACGTGAGGCGAGGGAACGTTAACAGAGGTAGTGGAAGGAGCAGCAGCAGGAGGAGGAGCAACATAGACAGAGGTTGAGGTAGTCGGAGCTGGAGGAGGAGGAGGAGGAGCAGCAGCTTGGGAGCTGGGGCTAGGACTAGGCTTGGGAGCCTCAGGAGCAGGAGGAGGAGGAGCAGCAGCAGCAGAGGGAGTCTCGTAGAAATTGCCCGGTGCGTTGGGAGTACCGGCCGACGTAGGAGTGGGCTTGGCTTCCTGGCCGGGAGTGATCCAGACAGTGGTGGTCTCGTCGATCATCTCAGTAACGTAGACGGTCTCAGTAACCACCTCGTTGACAGTGACGACAGCACGAGGCACGTTGACGTTGTTACGGACATGCTTGTGATTGTTGTGTGCGTGCTTGTTTGCATGTTTGCTGGTTCCGGGGCCGCTGTAATGAGGCTGGGCAGCAACGGCTGCAATCAGGGTAGCGCAGGCGACAGCAGAGTACTTCATGATGGCGACTTTAGTTGGTAGTTGAAGCGAGTTTCTCGATGTAGAGTGAAGCGAAATGTGTAATGGACTTTGTTGACTATTGGTCGATTGAAGGAATGGCAGCTCGACTTGTCGATTGAGTGGCTGGGCGGTGTTTGACTGGCTTAGAGTAGCAGTGTGGTCGAACAGGTAATGCCGAAGCAAAGGAGTGAAGGCGGTAGAGTCCTGCTCGTGATAAAGGCAAATAACTGAAGACCGCTGGTCTTGAAAATATGAAGGAGAGTGATGTGAGAAACAGAAGAAGAGAAGGAGGGAACTGATGACGGGGCCTTGGGGGTAGAAAAACAACCAGCACCGCTGGGGAATTTGCAAGTGTACTGTGAGGCTGGAGGTGGACGGATGGCATGGGCAGAAGTGGTCCGCAGGGGGCGGCAGGCCGGAGGGGGGCACCAAAAGAAGTCAACAGTACATGGACTCTTGAGGGATTTGCGCCTCGGGCGCGGAGCACTATTGGCTGTTTGCCATTGTTTCAATCCGTGTCCGTACCAGTACATACAAATACACATGTACATACCTGCACAAGAAGAAAAGGGAACAGACCCTGGTGCAGAAAGCACGACAGGAAGGGGGGAGGGAAGGGTGGAAAGCCACGAAAACACACTCTTGAACAGAGCTTCATTGGTGCTCTCTTCCAGCGGCGCCACGTTTGTCTCCATCGTTGTTTGTCACTGGTGCAAGATATACTTTTGTGCTATCCTACATGTGGCCCAACGGAAACGTTGAAAACCTGTTGCCGTTTGTCCAACATCTAAAGGCTCTTGCGGCCCCTGAACCCTGCGAGGCGGGTAGCCACCCGGAGCCCACCAGCTCCAGATGTCGTCTTTTCTCTCAGCACCGAAACACTACGTTCCATTGGCCAGTGGTCGGGGCAACGCAACGCAACGCCAGCGCCAGCGCACCGACGACCCACACACACACACTCTCCCTCAAGGTCTGATCAGGTCAAGGCTGATCAGGTACCCGACGAAGCCGACCAATGAAGCGTTCGGGGTGCCTGAGGCGCGTGGTGAAGACGCAGCTTGCATCAACCTGCGCGGGATTTCTGGTGAATTCGGACTGCAGGCTTTGCCCCGCGGATGGTGGAGACCTGTTGGACGGAGTTCTTTATCCAGCACCTAGCATTGACAGTTCCGGGTCCTTTTTTCTTCTTCTCGTGGCGTTGTAAGAGTTTTCTATTCTGACCTTTTCTACGGAGTACTCCGTACTTCGTCAAGAGTCAAGTTTTACCTGTTCTGTGGCTGGGTGGGCCCACTTTATGCACCCCTGTACATAGAGTTCATAAGGAGTTAAGTTTTGTTTTCTTTCAATCTCTGGTTCTTCTCAACCGGGTTTTGTGGTCCTGCTTGAATAATGGCCGTGGCAGCCATTCCGACCCAAGATGTCTTCCCATGTCCACGATCCTGATGCCAGGGTACTGGCCTGTTACAGGATACTACGTCAATCTGCATCGCAACTTGCTCAGCGAGTCTGGACCAGGTCGAGCTGGCTATCCACCTCGCACCACCGTCAGGCATGCACAATTGCACAGAAATGCCTAGCCTACCAACCTGCTTTGCACTAATACTACTCCGTGGGAATTGTGTATTCCGCGCCGCCCTTGGTCACGCAACCTTTTGGCACCAACTCGCACCACGGCCATGTCAGCGAGTGAATTGCTCGGCGGGCTTAATCTTTTTGCTAGGTGCGCTTACCCCTCTTAACAGGTAAGTATTTATTATATTTTAACTTTTTATATTTATTTATAATAAAATTTATTTATTTATATAGCCTAATACTATCTAGGTACCTAGTAGTGCGTGAGCGTACTCCGTACCTAGCAAAAAAAGTGAGCCCGCCGAGCAATTCATGTCAGCGAGGGGCTCGGCCGTCGAGATTCGGTATGATTTTGACCGCTGACAGGGCCACTCTGTATAAATCGCGCGCCTGGCTGGAGAGGCATTTTCTCAAGCCATGGCTGGCGACAGCGCAGCAGGTACACAGCAGCAACGCATATTTATGGCAGCACTGTGTACACTGTAGAGCACTTTGCTCGTCTGCTCCGGGCATCGTGTATCCCCAAATCACGGCCTGAATGGATGCTTGCACGCGCGCTTTGTGAAAAACTAACGACTCTGGCCCACCATACATGCACGCACTTGTACTTATGGGGGCATGGAGGCTTGCTCTGACACTGAGGCGTACGGAGTACTGGTACAAGATTGAAACGCAACGACCTTGCGGCCTAGCACGGAGCGACCTGGGGCTGGACTGAGTCAAGACGGTGTTGATCGGTGTTCCTGACGATTCTAGCTTGCGTTGGCGGTTCTGGCGCCGTTGCACACTTGGGATGAAAAGCCAAATGTGACGGTTGACGGCAAGTTGACGACGGTGTCAAGATATGAAGAGCTGAGTGACACGGCGCCGTCGCAACCTTCTTGATTCACGATTGTCCGGCTGCGGGTCATTCATTGTCTTGCGGGCTCAACTACTCCGTACATCAACTCTTTTGCGTTCTATTATTCATGTTGCAGCACGCGCCGGGATCAGTGCCTTTCATTGATGCCGTTCACGCCATTAGAGTTTTTTCCCGCATTGCCTCTGACTGCCGTGCTCTTAGCGCTCGGGCGGCATTTGAATGAAAAGAGAAATAATGACTGCCGCTGAAACACTGGGCGATCCTCGTCAAACAGCTCCTCAACCACGAAGGCCTTCTTTGCCATTTTGACGAACTGCATGTCGGCCCTCCTACGCTTCTTGAAGCAAAAGTAGACCACGGCCTCCTCGTTGAGTGCAAGCAGATCCTTGAGCGTGTCCAAGAGTAGGGGGAAAGCAGGTTCAAAATACACGCATTCTGCTGCGATAATCACATTTGGCTTCTGCGTCACCACCTCCCGCGGAAGTGGCTCGCCCCTACAACACGACCAAGCCAAAGGCGTGTTAGCCAGCAAAACCAATACGTTGCACGAGACGTAATACGGCTGCGGGTGTGGTAGGGGAACAATGAACCCCCCCCCCTTTTTCTCCCAAGACGAAACCAAACCAACAGGGCAAAAAAAGGACCCACGTACCAGTTAAGGATAAGAGCTTGGGCCCTTGAATCAACTTGATTGAGCCGGATGTTTGTTTGCATGAGCTCCAGCATCTCGTCCTGGTCGGTTAGTAAGAGCTGGTTCTCGCCACCGCATCCCAGCGCCACGGCGAGACCAACAAGCCCACCTCCAGCTCCAAGCTCCAGTCTGCCATAAAAAACATCTCTGAGTCAGCAGGTTGTTTCTACTTGTTTCATCATTCCATGCCTCTCGAGAGACAAGATGTGAGAAAACGTGGCTGTGGTCCAGCCATGTTCTGCTACCACTTTCTCAACGCACACTGTTCGATGCTTAGGAGATATCCCGGTATACCAAGCGATATCCTGGTATACCGAGTACCCGTACCAACTCGCAGCTTAGGATATTTGCATTGCAACAAATCGCCTTGGAAGATGGGAACGACTCACATTCTGGCTGTCCGCATCTCCTGTCTGTGGTAGCGCAGCATGTGTTTTCCCAACACCAGTCCTGCCGGCCATGTTTGGCCACCGCATCCTGTCCTCACATCCTCATGGTAGGCGAGTGGCTCTGGCAGCTGGCCGTCAAAATCGATGCGCGCATCTCCGGCCTGCTTCAGGGTTGGCAGAGGTGTTAGATCCTCGCTGACGGCCACGGGATCTAGCAGCGGTGAAGGGGACCGACTCATCATGGCCACCTTGGCCAGGCACTGACACCGTGTTTTCACCAGGTTTCACTGTGATGCAGTTCTTGCAAGGGTCCTGGTGTCGGCTTGTGAGGAGGAAAAAGAGAAGGAGCCTTCGAGCGAGAGTGTTTGAGGCAGGAGGTGGCAACCCGCCAACCAATAGGTCCTTTCCTCTCGGTCTCTTTGGCACTGCCAGTTGTCCATCTTTTCCAAGCATTAGTCCTGTGAATGGACTGTGGTCCAGACCCTCGACCCTCAATGTTCAAGTGAGCAGTTATTGATTCGATTTTACCTTATCAGAGGGCCTTCAGTGATTGGCCGCCTTTCCTCATTGGGATGGGCCTCGCCAAGCGAGTCCACAATTCCCAAGATTTACCATCGCCATGTTACAAGGCGTACAAATTTGTACTGCCTCCTTTGTTAGGCAATGCAGGATACCATGAGTATCCATCCTCTATATGCTGATACATTCTAGATTCAAGCGCCTAGGCATGATGTACCAATGGATTTCTGGTGATTTGACGCAAGCGATGCTTGGACTATACGACTCCTCTGCACGGTTCGCGAAGATCCACCGTGGGTGACTCGGACGAATTGGAGGATGGTCGACAGGATCAATTCCAATCACCCAAAAGACAGACCCGCCCCGGATCCATGATTGGCCTCAATTGCCGCCGTGGCCCCGTGAATTTTCCCCCAGAAGCAGTCAATATTGAGAGAAGCGAGGCTGTTCTTCCTTGGGGCTTCTTTTTGGAGCTTACCAAACGGCATCTGAGCGTAAGAACCGCGCCGCGACGCGTTCCACGCCACTTGATTGAGCAAGTTGGCCTTGGTTGCATCGAGACTTTTAGACAGGGAACCCCAGCTAGTGCCGATATTCAGATTCAACAACGTGAAATAGCAGTAGGGAGACTTGGGCTTACCTGGCTGCCAGCCATCATCGCGCCGCGAAAATCCAGTATTCATATGTCGTCATACAACAGACTGAAGTGAATACAGCAAGACACCCGACTGGCAGCACGGGAGTCAATTTACGCGTCGGCGCGTTTAATCATGCGGGCCGAGCTCCGGATGGGACGGTGAAATTCGATATCAATTGAAGCACACGGATGAAACCCAAACACATGCCTCGACAAGCATATTTTATTGAAAATTGAATTTCGTCGCCGTCTCCGACCCCGTTGGCCAAAGTTGATACTGATAGCATTCGATAGCCAATGCGATTATGCGGCCGACTTCTCCCTTGCTGCTGGACCCCGTCAGTCGTCACCGTCGACCTGAGCTGGCTCGCATGGCCGTTGATCGATGGTCCCCGTTCCCTAGTCCACCAGCCAAACGCTCTGGAATGTCGCATCCCACTATTACCAGCCCTCTCGCATCTACTCTCCCTTCCCTGTGAATATACCCCAGTGAGGATTCTGCTTCCAAGACATGCGCCTCTTGTCGCAATGGGCATGTGCCCGCAGCCTATCGGCGCGACACCATGCACATGTCTCCCAGCCCGCACAATGACTCCACGACTGGATTGTCCATGGAATGAAGGGGCGAGTATTCCTCTTGAAGATGGCTATTCTAGGATGAAATCGTAGCTTCGCACCATCTCATCCGCCGTTCGTTGTTCAAGTCCTTCCTTTTACTCTCCTCGCCTTCATTGAATCTTGCCTTTTTGTTCTTGATCCTTTGCTCTGTATATGGCCTCATGACGCCTTACTTGTTAGCTTTGCGGTACTGTGCCTCTTTTTGCGCACAAAATATCGTGCCGTCATGCCTTCGCTGCTGGCCTTTGTGGCAGTCCTGCCACTCACTTGGCTTGTGAGCTGCGAGCCTACGATATCATTCCCCTTTAACGCACAGCTGCCGCTAGCCGCGCGAATAGACCAGTTTTTTTCTTATTCCTTTTCGCAATATACTTTCCAATCCGACTCGAAAATCACATACTCGCTCGGCGATCATCCCAGCTGGTTGTCTCTCGAGAGTGGACGGAGGCGCTTATACGGCACGCCGAGAGAAGGAGATGTCCCGTCAGGACAGGTGGTCGGCCAGACCGTTGACATCATAGCGACCGACGATAAGGGCTCGAAAATTATGAAGGCGACGATAGTAATCTCTAGACAACCCGCTCCTGAAGTTCGAATTCCTCTGGAGGATCAAATGGTCAACTTTGGCAACTTCTCTGCGCCGTCGTCCATCTTATCCTATCCGGCGACAAAATTCAAGTTCACGTTTGATCAGAATACCTTTAGCAGTTCTGGGCTGAATTACTACGCGGTTTCCGCAGATAGTAGCCCATTGCCGGCATGGATCCAGTTTGATGCGCATTCACTATCTTTTACCGGGCGAACACCTCCTTTTGAGTCTCTGGTTCAGCCGCCCCAGACATTCGATTTCAGCCTCGTTGCTTCCGATATTGTTGGATTCTCGGCTTCGTCACTCACATTTTCCATCGTGGTGGGCAGTCATAAGCTTACTACCGATAAGCCGATTATCACTCTGAATGCCACGCGGGGCACAGCGGTCAGCTACGATGGCTTGGAAACTGGTATCAAGCTTGACGGAAAACAGATATCTCCGGGTGATCTGACCGTGACCACCAAGGACATCCCAAGCTGGTTGTCGTACGATGACAAGACAGGGAGACTTCAAGGCACACCCAAGGATGGCGACCATGCAGCCAACTTCACCATTACCTTCAAAGACCATTTTTCGGACAATTTGGATGTTTTGGTGGTTATCAACGTGGCTACTGGCCTCTTTGTCTCTACTGTCGAAGATATGAAGATTAGACCAGGGAGCAAACTCGACTTGGACTTGACCAAACACTTCAAAAATCCCGCCGACATTGCCCTCAAAGTGTCCACCAGCCCTAAGAAGGATTGGCTCAAGGTTGACGGGCTCAAGCTCTCGGGTGAAGTTCCGAAGACATCAACAGGGAGCTTTAAATTGGCCATAGACGCATCTTCAAAGAGTTCGAGCCTCAGCGAAAAGGAAGTCGTTCAAGTGTACTTTCTTGCGCTTGATGGAACGACGACGACAATGACTTCGGTTTCATCTACCACTGCTACGACAACGGCTAGAGCCACGGCCACCGGAAGCGATATCTCTGACGATAGACAAACTCAGCCTGGACATATGAGTACAGGAGAAATTCTACTGGCAACTGTCATTCCTGTGATATTCGTCGCAGTTCTTCTAATGGTCTTGGTGTGCTACTTTCGTCGCCGTCGTTCTGGACAAGGATACCTGGGCAGCAAGTATTACCGTTCAAGGATCTCTCCCCCGGTGCAAAGCACTATGCCAGCCGATTTCTCAGACCCATCGATGCGAGAAGCCGCTGCAATGGGGGCATTTGTGCATACAGAAACGGAAGTTTTCAAGCCTGCCAAATCAGCCTTTGCAGAGGAAAGCTCACCTATATCTTTTCACAGAAGGAGTTCAGAAACACTAGGTGGACTGTCAACTTCTGAGATGCCGCAAAGTATCATGGTGGACGCCGCTCGAACAACAACTATCCGCAGCGTCAGCAACGTCACCAGCGAAGACGGGAGGCAGTCGTGGATTACGATTGACGGGGCCCCCGGCGGGATAGCCCAAAGCGACAGATCCTCGCAATCCGAAGTGACGTTCCCCGAGGCCACCCGTCAAATATTCCCCGGCGCTGACTATACGCCGAGGCGAGATACAGGACTGGAAATCACCCTTCCAACTCTCAACGAACTGCCTAGTCTGCAACCAACTCCCTTGTTGTCACACGACTCAATGTCACTCTTTTCACAACATTACCTCGGCCACCAGTCAGCAATCACATCCAGCTCGGCGGCCCTCCCCATCCAAGATGACCACCAGTATACCACCGCTCCCCTGGGAAAGTGGCCCACCGGGTCAACAGCCATTGTCGAAGGCTCAGAACCAAACTGGGTGACACTCGCGAAAAGCGAGACGGGGGGGAGTATGTCCGAGATACGAAAACCCGATGCCGTGGCAGTTAAGCCGTCCCAGCCCTGGAACGAAGCCGACTCCCTAGACGGTGGCAAGAGTGTCACTACAGAAGCATCCTTCGCATCCTCTGAGAACTGGCGTATCGTAGGCCGCCTCGGCCCGACCAAGACTGAGCGGTCGGGTAAAGAGATTGTTGACGATGGTCCGGTCCACCCTGACAGGCCGGGCACCTCTCGTGGAGCCGCTCAACAAGCGGACCACGAACCTAGCACGGAGCTGGCATCGCCTAATAGGTGGGGAGATGTCCCGTCACCTCTGGCCTCAGGACGACCAGCTCCGTCAATGAGCAGATTCTCCAAGATGAGCGGTGTGGGCGACGAGGCAACTCATATGTCGGGCGGAAGGGGGCTTGACGAAGCCCCGTGGATAAGAGATCACTCGGGCAAGATGTCAGACGGAAGCTTCAAAGTATTCTTATAGAAAATGGAGATGATTGGGCAGGGTTTAGACTAGCATATTCCGTGAATTAACGATACCAGTAGCATAATTGACGTGTACAAGTATTAATACAATTCTCTACAGGGATAGAGACCGTTATTCTACATTGTGCCAGTTGGCCAGGTGCAACAGTCAAGAGGGCTGCTTACTACCTTGTGACCTATGGCGGCTTCTAGAACAAGGGACACCTGGGAAATCAATGCCATGCGGAATGGCAAAGAGTAGGACTACCATGGAACCAACGAGTTTATGCTCTTTTACAGTTCAGACTAACCAGGAGGAATCAGTGCCAGGGCGTCGCCTTTCGGAACATCTGTGACGCCGTCCTTGCGTTTGGTGCATGTTGTCTCATACGGGAGGTGGACGTGGTGTCACTGGTGAACGAAGCGACTGGTATGGCGTAGCCAAATCATGCGGACAATTCGTGACTCGGATACTGTAGCGTGCCACTTGAGTCATTGATTCTCTAGCAAGCGCAGCGGCACAAATGTGATATTTTCTCGAAGGGGTTTTAGAACACGAACGCGGGATACGTGGGACCCCAACGACGAACAAACGGCACAGTCGTC